ACGCTGCGGCAGCTTCCAAGACTGGAAGGTGGAGATAAGTAGAAGTGGCTGTATTAAACATAGCACCACAGACTATAATGGGAAGACAGCAGATATATTACACATGAAAAAAAAAAAGAAAAGGCAGTTATTATGGTGGAAAAACTTCAACGGTGAAACGGCACGGTCGGTGTGAAAAATCAAATGTTAACTAATTCAAACTCAACCAGCTTGAATGGATGATTTTGTGCCTGAGAGTTGACAGAGCACTAAATCAAAAACTATCGCTCATTCTGATACAAATGTATTTGGAGAATTATATATCAATCAACTTTTTCAAGGGAATTGAATGTGTTTAAAATGAAGGCTGGTTTTGTTTTCCAATGACTCAAAAAGAACACCTCAAAATGAGTCAGTTTATGTCAATGACATATTCCAATGTTTTGTATGTACTAGTCCTGTAGGCTACTTTACTAATTGCAATTCATCATACAACACAGCAGTGCAATTGCTGCTTGTCAACAAATAAAAATAAAATAAGATGAAGTATGAAAAACAGTACACAGTAAAGAAACAATTAGCTTGAGGGAAATTATTTGGGAGAAGTAAGGCGCTACAAAAAAAAGGACAAAAAGGCCAAAGTTTGTGTAGGAAAGCAAAAAAGCTAAATTGCTAACATTAACATACATTTTGTAAACTGCTAAAACAGGGTAATAGTAGCCAGAGATATCTAGAAGTTAGCCAAAATAGCTTACATTTTGGCATAGATTTAGAGAAGAATCACATTTGTAAAATGAACGAAACAAAATGTAGTTAGTCTTTGCTAACAGAAAAAAAAACAACAAATAAAAATAAGCTAATAAAGCTCATTTTACTCTGCTATAAAGAGTTTGTCGACAACATTAACATTCATTTCCTGCGCATAAAAAAATGACAAAGAAGAAGCAGCAGAAAGTTGCTCACACATCTCTCACTGACACAGTAATCAAGCTGTATTATATAAAGTTACAGAGTTCCTCCAAGGGGCTGCGTAGACATAACGCAGCGCAGACAAAGGCTCCATCACTTTAAATACATCTGCTTCAACAGAAACAGGTGTTCCACGCCTGAGTTTGCTGATTGATTGCCGTGTGTCTTTCCTTTACAGGATCTTTACAGGAAAGACTGCAACCTGGCCGCCCAGCTGCTGCAGTGCTCCAAGACTCACTACAGAGCTCACAAGATGTCTGAGGTGAGCTCCACGGCACTGCTGCTACAACTGCACCACTGTGACGCCTCCAAACTGGGGCTCGGAACAGTCAACATCCTGTAGTTTAACACTTGACATAAAACAAAAGCAGCGTTGTTTAACTGCACTGAAAACAAAGACTAATGCCAGACAGAGACCATCAGGATTTTCTGTAAGTTAAAATAGCAACATTATTTTTTCTCCATGTTTTCAGTTTAAGTCTAAACGAGCCATGTTTCCATCAGAGAATTCTAAAGGTCCATCACACCAGGTCAAATTTGTTAAGTTTTATGGTTAAAAACCTGATAAAATCACAAGAAATACAGCTTAACACTTGAATATTATATATATATATATCAATAAAAATCATCAATACCTTATCATGTTTCAGTAACCGTACATACTCTAGTATTAGCTGATTCGCGTATAAGCCGAGCCCTGAAAATTGATCCCAAAATGGTGACTTTTACAAAAACTCCCAAATAAACTGACCATAATGTTTTTTGCCATAGTAAGATGTCTTACTCCTGCTGCGTGCATTAACGAAGAATTAGAATTGACCGTATGTTCGACTTGGTGTTTATTATCGGTGGTGATGCAATCGCCAACCCTCGATTTGATCTTTTTGGTGTTTATTATCGGTGATGATGCAATCGCCAACCCCCGATTTGATCTTTATTTTTGGTACATTATATTATGCTTATATGCGACTATGAACAGTTAATTCACATCTGTCTTCACATCTTTGTGGTAGGCATGTTCCCTGATTTGATTTATTATAATTTGGAAAAATTACCTTGTTACATGAAAAATAAAATTGTAATTGGGTCATTGGGTCCAACTGATACAAATGTCCTCTCAGTCACTAACACCGTGACTGTGAACGAGATGTGGTTGTTGTTCTACAGCAGCAGTAGAACAGGAAAGAAGAAGAAAAAGAAAAGGCAGAACAGGAGAAGATGATAAAGGAGAAGAAGAACTCTAGCAGCAATAATATAGACTAAGTGCCTGTTGAGAAAAGTTTTAAAAATTATAAAAATGCACGATCAAACAGTTTTACAACACATATGTAGTACCACTAAGGATCCTCTAGGGTTTACAAGCCCCCAGTTGAAGACTTCCTCTTTTTTTGACACACCTAGGGCCCCCAGTACTACTACATGTCCATGCCCCATGACCTCAGCATTGCTGTTTTTGGAGAAAGACAATTAGCGCCACTTAGTTAATCGACCTCCACAGCCAGATCTCAATCTGATGAAGCGCCTTTGGGACTTGGTGGATCAGGAGATTTGCATCATGGAAGTGCAATCCACTAATCTGCAGCAACTGTGTAATGCTGCCATGTCAGTATGGAGTAAAACCTCAGCGGAATATTTCCAAATTTTGACTGAACCTGTGCCAGGAAGAAGTAGGGCAATTTTGAAGTTGCTGCTGAGTGTATTTGTACGATGGAACATTTTGTCAAAAAACTAAAGTACTGTATTCAGAAGAAGAAGGAAAAAAATACAGCTGCCTCAAATCATCAAAACAGTGAAGTAAATGGACTAACATTAGAACTAAAATCCAAGATCCCAATCAATAGAACCCAATCAATTGAACCACAGTATTCATCCATCAAAGTCCATCAGCAAACCTTTCCTCCAGCCTGAACACAACAAGGCTTTTTTAAAGAATTGCTCCTATAATGGAGAGCTCTCTCCTCAGCTGCTTTGTCGGTGTACCATTAAGAGAGTGGGTGAGTGGTTTTCACAGTAACAACCACAGTCCTTGTGCCTCTTCAGTCAGACTGAGGAAGGTCTGCTGTCTGAAGTGCCAGCAATCTACATCCTGGCTGCGCATAATGAGTGAACCAATGAATGGAGGCCGGCCTGAGATGACACCTTTGGTACAAAAACATAAAGAGTACGACTGACAACCATTCAAATGTTCAAAGGTACAAAAACATAAAGAGTACGACTGATAGCCATTCAAATAAGTTCTTACACCAGAGAATTTCAAACCCTGAGTTTTGTATGTATTTTTTACATTTTCACATTTGTACCTAACTTATGGAAATAATGTTATAAAATGTGACGAAAAGTGTTATTGGCTTTAAACTTAAGTCGATTGGCCACGAATATCAAACAGAGTGAATGTTGTGGTACTGGCTTTTTCTAGACACATATACAGTATGAAAGAAATTTTCCTAGAAAATACCTGTCAAAAGAGTTTTTTATTATTAAAAAAAATATAAATTAGCATAAATGTGGTGCATTGTTTAGCATTAGCCAAGAGGCTAGCTACACTTTAGCAAGCATTTATATGAAACTGACCTATAAATTATGCAAAATGTCACTGAAAAATATTTCATGAAGCAAATAAATGCTGCCTCTGCTGTTTACAAATAGATAAAACCATTAAAAAGGTGGAGTTCTCAGGAAAAACAAACATATTCTAGAACAAACGCTAGAACTTCTATAGGCCCTTGCAAGAGTGTACAGCTTCAGGTTTCAGAGCCGTAGAACTATGTGACTGCTAATTAACATTTACGTCACAATGCTGAGCTAGCTCAGCACTCACTCACACACACACCGACTTCTTTACATTCCTATTCCCTCTGGGAAAAGCCACGGTTTCTAAAAATAGCCTCCACTTAAAACACCACGGTTATTTTACGGTGAGGCGAGCTTCTATTTCTTTACAAAGCCACGTTGGTTGTTTTTAGCCTTTTTTCTATTCCCAGCTGGAGACGCTGAGAACTGGTTTAATTTGAATGCGAACCATTCCCTATGGACGTAATACGTGTTTGATAGTAGAAAGAAGACAGACGTTTAGAAAAAGACATGAAGGGAAAACAGCGAGGGCTCGGAGTCAGAGAAGAAAGATGAAAAGGATGAGAGAGAAAAAAAAACAGAAAACTTGGCGTGTATAGAAAAAGCACCCACTGACCCTGGTCAGCGTTAACAGGCACAAAGAAGCAGACTGTAATTGACAGACGCAGTTTTCTCAAATATGGGCCAATCAAAGCAGATTATGTTTCTGTCTGTGTGAGAGCGAGCCAGTGCATGTTGGAAGAGAGGAACAAGAAACAGAAGAGCAGATGAAAGGGAATATTTATCTCTTAGATTTATTTTTCAGTCTACAAAGAGGTGTTTGTAATTTCTTTTAATTAATTAACCATTCAGATTCTAAAGAAATTATAACTGCTTTCAGTTAAATAAAAAAAATAGCTGTTTGACATTGCATGTAGAGATGGGTCAAACTCCAGGTCTGTGGGCCATGTCTGGCACACTTGGTGCATGGACCATTTTTAAGGATCCTCAAGAAAACCCTTAAAGAATTTTCTCTTCAATTTATTATCAGTACCTTTTATTCCACTAAGGCAGCGTGCCATGAAAGATCAGCAGGTATGCG